TTGGTAGTTCCAGCGATAATCCTCGGTGTATACTCTAAATTTTATAAAATCCTTATAAGCATACATATATCATACTCGTGATAAAAAAATACTGCAAGAAATTTTCCAATACATTTTACAGATTAACATTTTAACAGCGAATTTTCAAATTTTCGAGAAGCTAATAACTTTGAGGTGATCGAGCCGCGATATTTCTAATAATCGCATCACCATGATATACATAGTTAGTCACAGGTAATTCTAAACAGGTTTCTTTATTGGATTGTGAATTCTTCTGCACATTCGATTCGTCGTTACATTATTATATCGCTTATAAAACGAAGGAAGGAAAACTGTAAATGTCTGCACACGAAATAACAAAATTTCTACTCTTTGTGGTTTCCGAGCTTTGACAAAGTAAATTTTGATCGATCATTTCGATGCTATTTTATATTTGTAACGCTCGATATGTTGCTTTGTCGATTAAAAATGGGTTGAGGTTGAAGTGGTGATTTTATGGACTCTTGATTTTTTCCTTTCTTTTAGTCTTTTTTTCCAAAGAAAATATTTGCACATGTTGGCAAAGAATGACAAACGTGTCTTTTATGCTTTGAGCTCGGTTTGCGTTGGATTTGGATGTTTACAGAGATCTTATGCTTGTTAAACATGCTCAATATAGACTAGATTAGCTTTGGGTTGAACCAACATTTTCTTCCAACGAGATACTCATCTCTGTATATCGCAATGATAAATGTGTCTTACCAGATTTTGGCTGCAGGTTCATCTACGTGTGAGATTCAAGTGTTGGCATGATAGAACAGAGCGCTTCTATCTTCTTAACACTAGAATAAATGATCTGCAATGCGTGACTAGATCTATTATACACAGATTATGATAATTGAAGTGGTATGATGAAGATAAATAGGTAAAATCGCGTTTCCATTTGGATAAAAGTGAAGATTAGTTTTGCTAAAACTAGCTGCATGTTTTCAGTGATTGTGACAATGAAACACAAGAAACTAGCTATCTCTTGGCTTAGACCAGGTTTAGATTAGATCTAAGTTAGGCTCGAATAGGTTCGAGGTGAGTTTGAGCTTGGAAGATCAAAAGTAGCTGCATGTTTTCACTAATTGCAGAAATGAAATATCGAAAACCGATCGTTTTGCTTGCTCCGGGCTAGATTTGCCAAGTTTGAGATTCAAATGAGGTTATGTTCAGTTTGGGCTGGATTTGGATCGAGTTTGGCTTACATCGTGATGCATTTGATTTAGGTTTAAGTTGGATTGAGTTAGATTTGAACTAGATTGTGCTACGTTTGGATCAAATTTGGTCTACGTTGGACCATGTTTGAGTGCCCAAACGATGAAGCGCTCGTACATTTTTTAACGATATTATATTTTTGAAATATCTAATTTTATCGACACGCTACAATAGCAATATCTTCCACGATTCGAATTAAATTCGAAAAATTAAATTTCTCTATGATATTTAAACGTTCCTTTTGCAAGTCGATATGTTGCAAAGCAAATAGGTCTCTCGTAATTCAGCGAATATTCTTATTAGCTATAGTGTATGTTGGAATTCGCTATATTTTGAATAGTTATGAGCAGTAGTGTCTACAGAGCAACACTTGTCGTGTCACAGTCCAATATTGTGTTCTAACGCAAATGTGGAACGTGGGATCCTCGAGTATTCCAGCAATCAGAAGTTCGGTCACACCTACAATTTGTTACACTTTTGCGAGTGAAAACGAAATGGAACGTGGGTGGGAACTATGGGTCGGTGATCACGCGTTTTTACCTTGATTCTATTCCCAGGGCTTAGAATCAATTTAACGAGGGTCTTTTGCATTTGCAAAATGGCAAGGCAGGTGATCAAAATCGTAGCAGGCTTCTGTATCTCAGCCATTCGTAGGTTAGAGTGATCGATTTCGCTTTCTAAATCTTTCTAATTTCGAATTTTCGCGCCAAAGTACCTGATTCGGACTTAACTTCAACTATTGACTCTACGTTTAAAATAAATTTCTATCCTTCGTTTTTCGGATCGAATCAGTTTAGCAAGGGGGCGTTTCGTATATTTTTCACAATTGCAGTGGTCAGAAATTTTGAAAAATTTGTGTACTCTAAATATTCGGTTTATTTTTAATATCCGCTTTAGTATCCTTGGCTACTACTCTTTGATGTCATCGCTTTTCTTTGAACGACTGTATCAAGGAAGACATTATTAGATTCCAAAAGTGCTAAGGTTTCATTCGTTCCTTAAATTATTTTGATGATCAGAAATTGATATTGCGTTATCAAGATCTTTTTGGGGGGAGGGAGTTCATATGTCTTAGAACCCTGAAAAAAAAAGAAAAGGAAAAAAAGCAGGTGAATAGTATGGGAATTCAAACAATACTGGAATTAAAGTGGCAATTAAAGTAATATTCATTTAGGGTCATAGCGTGACAGGGAATAAGAACATGGGAGGTATATTAAATAAAGTAATTAAGAGGAAGAATAGACATCGGTGAATGCAGCGTTCTGTAATAAATTCCACGCGATACATCATGCTAATTTACGTTAATTTCACTATAAGATAAGGGGACGTACGAACTTCCTCCTCATTAGCATGTGAAAGCAATGTTTTGAATGGCACTGTAACTCTGATAAATGACCCACTATTCGATTGCAACTTTAAAAACAAAGAAATTTTCCAAGGTGTTCTAAAATGAACAGAAATTTCGCATTTTCCTTTTTATTAATATTCTTAGTAACAATGACTCGAAATTTTTGAACACTGTGAATTGTGCCCCATTAATGGATGTTGCTAAATGAATACAATTGACTTCTGAGAGATTAGAAAAAAAATTTCCAAAATTATCATTGCAAGATTGGTAATATAGTTTTATTATTGAATTCTCTAATGTAATTTATTGCTCAATTATTTATATATATTCACTATTTTGCCAAAGATAGCTTTGTTTGATTGGAAACTGAACGAATGCAACATAAAATAAGCGAGAAAATTATTTTCTTTCCTTTTTTTTTTTTTTTTTTTTTTTTTTT